GTACAAATTCTATTACTTTACCAAGTTTTGTAATACAGTTAAAAACCTAATATGATCAAAATATATATTATACGTACCCATTGCTTTGGCTAGGAGATGTCAAGCGTTTCCAAGTAAACTTTTCATCACTGTATTTAGCATTCAGCTTTGTCAGTAGCATCGGTACCACAACTCAAATGGGCTCAAGTTGCTTCTTCAGTTGTGCCCTCCGCATGACACTTGTTTCGCTATCATAGACATAAATGCATCTCTGCGATAGATCAATCTCGAGTGCGAGCCAGTGGCCATTGCCCTCTTTCCAGAAAGGAACATACAATTTCGCACAATCAGTCCACGGCTTTGCATTATTGGGTATCTCCCCTGTGGCGTATCTAGTCAAGGCCTTCGAAAATTTTTTAGTCTTCGACATCTCCTTGAAGAAATTTCTCACGTACAAGACAAAAAACGTGTCCAAGATAGCACAATCTTGTTGAAACAAGAGAGGGAACTGTTTACCCCACTCTCGAATGTGAAAAAGCGCTTAACCAACATGCTAAGAGTATAATGGTTATTAGATTAGTGAATATCATGCTTTTCAAAGGTAAAATATTGAAAAAGAAATTTTAAATAGTTTACCTGACTAAAAAGTCATCCATCGTTGAGAAGTTGATTAAAAAAGATTTTATCTGCTAGACCACCAGAGGACAACTCAAATCTAACACTACATATAAAATCAATACATTAAACAAAGACATACAACCTTATATATTACAATAAGTAGCCCACAATTAACTTAACACAATTACATACCTTTCAGGGGAGGTCGACAACCACTTTTAGAGATCTTCAAGATTAGCTGGATCCACTGGCCTATAAGGGTCGTACTCCGTCACAGTTGGAAATTTTTTTCTTTTTTCGATATTCCTCCACGAAGTACATAGAACGACGACCTTTCTTTTCTTCCAGTGCCCTATCCCCTTAGGAGACTCAAGTGGAACCTCTTCAACGGTTTTCTCCATCTCTATTGGTGTCAGCAGTTGTCTCTCTTGGTACACAACAATGGCTAATGACGGGTCGAACACAAAACCTACAATAAGCAAAAAAATAAAAAATAAAAAAATAAATACTCATTTATTTACAAGAATGCACCATCAAATTACGTAGTAGTTACAATTATACTTTACATACCCGTATCAAATCCATGATCAAATATTGTTGGTGAGACATTCTCCTCAACAACATCAGTTTTGGCCTTCATCTCCAAGCCCGCATCATCATGAAGTCCAGCCATTTCTTGCTCGGGCATCGGAGATGGTGATTTCATCGTGTCTGCGAAAGAGAAAAAAAATAAGTAATTCAATAACATGTTGCATTTGTTTTAAAATATATCTTTATGTAAAAAAAAAAATATTACAATACATTATTCTATTTATTTTTTTAATAATCGAGTAAGAACATTAATATGATGCATTGACTTACAATAATCGAATAATAACTTCACCACATTCAACGGTCTCCGTATCCCGCATATTTTTTCTCCACCTCAACAACCGGATCATCATTTGGCCCATCATAATTAGCACGGCTAGATGGTTTATCTTTTGCTTCAAAAAACTCATTCTTCATTCTCTGAAACAAATTATTCATCTCCTCCTTCACCACTTTTCTCACCTCGTCATTCACCACTTTCCTCACTATAGTTGCGATCTTTTCTTCATCCAAAATATGAGGTTGTGGTGGATCAGGTTAAGAAGCATTTTCTTCTTCTTCTTCTTCTTTTTCTTCTTCTTCTTTTTCTTCTTCATCTTCGTCTTCTCCTTCTTCTTCATCATCTTCTTCTTCTTCCTCGTCATCCACATCATCATCATCATCAGCTTTAAAAGATGCACTGCCTTCTTCCTCAACTTTGGTCGCAGTGCATTCTTCATCCTCATCTTGACGGACACTATCTTCTTCCTGGGCAATTATACCCAATTCGTTCAAATATGAAGACTCAACTTCATATGAACAGGGTTCCAACGTTCGTCGAACTTCAATCTGATTGAAATATAATTAGTTTTTTAAAAGTATAAGCATAATAATAAATAAGAAGAATAATCTATAACCAAAATTACCTCCACCCTATCGAAAAAAGTATTAAGCTGCTCGCCTCGCAACTGTTTTTCCATTTTCCAACAATACATTCTCGAAAATTGGACACCATTTCTTTTTTCGGCAAATTCTCTTCCTAAGTCGGGTAGCACCTCAAATGCCCAAATCTGGTTAGCAAATAAGAGAGCATAATTAAAAATACAACTAACACAAATAAATAATAAAGAACATAAATATAGATTTAGATGAAAAGTACCATAATAGCCAGGGGAAATCCATGCAAAGAATACTTTATGGACTTTGGATTTTTTCCCTTCCCGAAAGAGGTCCGCTGGAACAACTTTACAGTCTGCTGATACGACAAGTTGCCCCAAGGATAACTGTTGAATTTTTCTAAATCTTAAACTAAATTAAACCATATTTCATCTACAAGAGTCTCGCACTCTGCAGACAAAACCACATGCTCCACGACTGTCAGAAGTCCCAATTTGTACTTCGTCTCCGCATCTTCCTCATTATCCAGCTCATGAAATTTCTCGAGTAAGTCACTGCGTTTGATCTTCCCCTGCTTCTCCTTGAACAGTTGCAAAAGCGAACTGTTATTTTTGGGGACCTCGAACGCATTTTCATTATCCGCTGCCATCTTAAATCCGGTTACAAGACAAAACTCTTGTAACCCGAATCTAGCTTCTTTTTCCCCAAATCTGAACCACACCGCATCTTTGTCATTTTCAGACGCTTTCAATGTCCTACGAAGTACTTGGTGGACTATTTGCGAGGACAATATGAGCTCGGGAATATTTATTAGTGGTCGGAAGCAAGACTCTAGAAATCGATCTTCATGTGCATCGTCTAGTTTGTCAAATACTTCTCTGACATCTTTGAGGTTGCACCGATTGGTCACGACTGCTTTGCATTTGGAAGATATATCAAACGCATATTCCTTTTTGGTTCCTAAAAAAAGAAAAGAAAGACAACATAAGTCATAATAGATCAAACAAGTCATAATATATCAAACGCATATTAAATAATGAATGTACCATCGTTATTTAATAAATTGAGTTTCGATCTCCCGGCATCAAACTTCTCTTTCTCTTCTCGTTCTTACAAAATTTCAACAACATTTAAAATTTTTTACACTGAAAGCAACAAAAGGCTTATAGACTGACCATAACCCCTGCTCTTTAAACACAATAACAGTACAAAATAACCACATAGTCAACTACCTTCAAAATCAACCTCAACTAGGCAATTAACACATAACACACATGCTCATTAACACACACATAATTCTTAAGACTGAGTACTGACACTTCAAAGACTCTTACATTCAACCTCAATTAGGCAGCACATACACGACTCCACCTACTCTTCACATTCAAAACAACCAAAAAAAAAAAAAAACCTAAACATGCCTCTTTCAACTTCTATTCTTTTCTCAATTTCACACAACCCACTAAAGGGCCTCATAGATGTAAATAAAACTCTGAAAAGGTCTCCTTAAAAATATTGTAATCTTATAACAAAACCTCAGCAACAACTCATATCATTTTCAAGCAAGAAAATACATAACATGCTCAACATCATTTAACAAACCAAGCAGGTATGGCAGGAGAGAGTTCCATATGAAATGTGAAACAAAAAGTGAAACATTTTGGATACTAGGTTCTAAAATAAAAGTGAAACAAGAAAAAAGTGCATGAACTTGTACGAAAAATAAATGGAATTGTGGGTTTATTTTATTTGAAGTAACTTAATTCAAACTCATTTTTCACAAACAGATGATAAGATGCTATGCGTTAATTAATTGGAGGTATGGGTTTCTTTCCAATTAAATCAGATCAAATTCATTTTCACAATCAAATGATAATATACATGTATAGATGTTCTTTAAGTCAAAATAACCATAACGAGATTACATGTATAGAATCATTAACACGCCATTCAATCAAAATAACCATAACGAGATTACATTCGTTATGATTTTCAACATAACAAATGCACAGTCGTTATGGTTATATTTCCATCCCGGTCGATTAAATGCACCTATACCTTCGCTATTTGATACATTATAACGATATTTTACTCGTTATAGTCATAATTTAAGTCATTTTTAATGGATTCTATCAATTTCTAAAAAAATAACTATCGTTATCTCATAATAACGAGTGAGTATTCGTTCTAGTGTAATATATAACGAAGATAGCTTCATTGCTTCCATATATACAACAAGTAGCATATCAAATATTTCATCAAACACATAGAGTGCACCTATTACTATCTTCATTTCATTAACTCAATCCTACAACTATTTCATCAAACACATAGAGTGCACCAATTATCATCTTCAATTCCATCAAAACTAGCAAAATTACATGAATTCACATAATACAATCAAATCTTTCTCCAAGAATATCAAAGGCTCAAAAACATGGAAATTAAATAAAAGATCAAATTGACAAAAACCAAAAAAATACGTACCAAAATTGACGAGAGAGAGCTCTATATGGTCTGGTGCGAGAAAGAGAAGGTCGAAAGAGAGAGACGGTAGCGAGAGAGGGAGCCGCAGGAAGAGTTCGAAAGAGAGCAGAGAGCAGAAAGAGCTGCTCGGTTTTTTTTTTTTTTTTTTTAAGTTTGAAGATGGATAGAAGAGAAGGAAGGGGAGGGTATAATATTATTTATCTTTTAAATTTTATTTTTCATTAAGTTTATTTTTTTATTTTAGGTCAAGGTCATTTAAACGAAATGTTTTGTAGTATGGGTTATTTGACACAATTTCCACGAGATATCTCTCACCCGTACGGTGGAAAAAATCTCCATACGAATATTACCACGACAGTGTGTATTCACTTCACTTCACTCTCGCTTCGACGGCAATTCTTCTTAAATACGTTTTGACCAGCGACGGCGACCACCAGCCAAGGAACCGGATGGCGGCGTTATTAAACTTCCTCCAGCGACGCTGTCAAGCGTCAGCGCAATCGAACCTTCTTTTCAGACTCCTACACTCGCTCTCTGACGGCGAACCACATGACCAGTCTCCGGCTCCGTTTGCCGGAAAGCCTTCCCTCCCACTCCTCCACCACTCCCCGGAGGCGGACACCCTCTGCCAACTCCTAATCCGCCATCACAACCCTTTCCACCACATGGAATCTTCCCTCCAGCTCCACGGAGTATCCCTCTCCCCGCCTCTAGTCCACCAGACCCTCCTACGCCTCAGCCACCATTCCAAAATTGCCCTTGCCTTCTTCAAATTCGCCCAAACCCACCACCACCAAACCTCCTCTTCCGCCGACGCCGCCTCTACTCCCCCTCCTCCCGTTCTCGATACCGCCTCGTACAACATCGTCATAGACATTCTGTGCAGAGTCCGCCAATTCGACGCCGCGTGGCAGCTGATTCTTCAGATGGACAGCCACGAGAGCGCCGATTCCAGGCCCGATTTCACGACCTTCTTCGTCCTCATCAGGCGCCTAATTTCCGCTGGACTCACGAGGACCGCCGTCCGCGCGTTCTACGACATGGGGATTTTTCTCGGCGAAGGCTTATTCGAGTCTCAATTTAGCCTTTTCCTCTGCTATCTCCTAGATACACTCTGTAAGTACGGGTTCGTGAAGGTGGCTATGGAGGTCTTTAACAAGGAGAAGTACAGAGCGGATTTGGGCCCGAAACTCTACACGGTTTTGATATACGGGTGGTGCAAGGTGGGTAGAATCGAGATGGGAAGGAGGTTTCTGAACGAGATGCTTGAGAGGGGAATCGAGCCAAATGCCATCACGTACAATGTCTTGTTAAATGGGATTTGCAGGCGAGCGAGCTTGCATCCAGAGGGGAGGTTTGAAGGCGTGATAAGAGAAGCAGAGAAGGTGTTTGACGAAATGCGCCAGGCTGGGCTGGAGCCCGATGTGACCAGCTACTCCATCCTTCTCCACGTGTACAGCAGGGCCCACAAGCCCCAGCTTTGCCTGGACAAGCTGCAGATGATGAAAGAGGAAGGGATTCACCCGAGCGTGGCCACCTATACTTCGGTCATCAAGTGTCTGTGCTCTAGTGGCAGAATCGAGGATGCCGAGGCCTTGCTAGACGAGATGGTCGGCCATGGCGTGAGCCCCACATCAGCAACGTACAACTGTTTCTTCAAGGAGTACAGGGGCAGGAAGGATATAGATGGTGCAGTAAGGTTTTACCGGAAGATGAAGGAAGATGGTTCCCTTGTCCGGCCTGACATGCATACGTACAATATATTGCTGGGGATGTTCTTGAAATTGGATAAGATGGGCCTGACATGGGAGGTCTGGGAGGACATGGGTGCGAGTGGGTTGGGGCCGGATTTGGATGCGTACACGCTTATGGTGCACGGGCTTTGCGGGAAGAGGAAATGGAAGCAGGCGTGTGAGTTTTTCATGGAGATGGTGGAGAAGGGGTTCCTCCCACAGAAGATCACTTTTGAGACTCTTTATCGAGGGTTAATTCAGGCAGATATGCTGAGGACGTGGAGGAGGTTGAAGAAGAAGCTCGAGGAGGAGTCAGTATCTTTTGGTTCGGAATTCAAAGAGTATCACCTCAAGCCATATAAGAGATGACCGAGGTTATGTGCTGTTATTGTGATGCATTTATGACTGAGGTTTTGTTTGGGCATCTTGTTTATAAATGCTATATTTTGGATTTCTTGTTTATTTTCCCGGTTGGTGGGGGTTGTGTAGCTGTTCAATATTCAGATTCCAATCTTGTCTAAGCTATGGATGTTGATTGGTTTGAAACATCCACCATGTAATGTTGGCTCCGTTTGGGTGTCGTTAGCGCGATCTGGACCGTCCGTTTTTGAATGGTATATCTTGCAAACGTACCGTGGGTGTTTCGGCTTTTCTTGTGAATGATATGTTAGTTCTCCGAAGTTATCAAAAAATTGTGTCAGATTATGGGTTTTATTGTGGAGAAAGTGCCGTGCTCTTTATGTGCTTTCTGTTTCATGAAATTAACCACTGTTTTCTTTTTCTTTTTCTTTTTTTCTTTTTTTTTTTTTTTTTTTTTTT